GGACTATATGGGAGTTTCCCAAAATTAGGGGTACCATTTTGGGGGTCCCTATAATAAGGACTATAGTATTTTGGGGTCTATATTGGGGTCCCCTTATTTTGGGAATGTACCATATAGGGGACTATTATGGGGGTAATTAAGACGGATACTAGGAGTTTAGACTATAGCGCACATGCATTAGCATGTCTCAGAACCATCCGACAAAGTCGTAATCCTCACATAACCCCTGCCAAGGCAAATGTGCATACGTATATGTACAAATGTGTCCTGAAGCCCCTAAGATCCTCAAATATGTTCTGGGGCCCCTAGAATCCTTGTATACTCGCTGGTTCGGAAGATACCCCCAGACCCCCATATGAGCTATAGTCTAAACTCCTAGTATCCCCCTTAATAACCTCTCTAGTAGTCCCCTATATAATCGCATACATAACCCCCTTTAAAGAGTTTAGACTATAGCTCATATCGGTGCAATGGTCGATGCAGCTGGCCTCTGGCCCTTTGCTCCTGGAGGCCTGGCAGTTTGCTGTTCTCCGTAAATTATGGTACCCATTAGGTTAATGTTAGGGTTATATTGGGATTATATGGGGGATAATGGAAAAGGAAATGGAAACTACTACAATGGGTTATAGGGGTGGTTGTCCAAATTATGGTCCCTTTTTGGGGGGTACCCTAAATATTAGGGGCCGTATTATAATGGGGATCCAAAAAGGGACCATAATTTTGACAACCACTCACTTATTATTCAGGGTTTAGGCGCACCTTGCTTTTGCGAGAAGCCAAACCCTAAACCCTGGACCCTAAACAAGGGATGACGGGGATAACTGTTGAGGAGCTGAGAGCTTGGAGACCCATTCCATGTCTCCATCACGTGGCGAAAGGGCCCCAGCTTGTACCCCCTGAGATTCCAGCATCTTCATTCATTCTGTTTGGGAACTGCTTGTGTGAACCCCAATAATCAACATGAACATGTAGTATTGTAGTTTCAGTTGCATTCCATTCTTTTGTACACCCCCAAGTGCTTGCCCGGCCTCGAAAATGTCGCAAGAGGCAATGAGGCGAGAGCCTTCCTTGTCCGCTAGCTTTTCGGACAACAGCATCCTCAATTCAGCAGGGTTTCTGGTTTTGGGACCCTAAACCCTAAACCCTGGGAAGCCCTTCTGAGGGACAACAGCAAGTATACATGGGGTCTACATGCACTATACACTGATACAAATCCTTAGAACCCCTGCAAAAGCTGGAGCTACGGGCCCCGAGCACGGGCCCTTAAACCCTAAACTCTATGGAACCCGATGACATACTCCCCTACAAAGAGTCTACCCTCGAGGTGGTTTAGGGTTCCCTAAGGTTAGGGTTTAGGGTTAAGGGTTCAGGGTTCCCGAAGGTTCGGACTTTAGCTCCTGTCTAGGTTTGCCTTTGAGCTTTAGGGTTTTGACTGTTGCAAGGCTGAAAGGAAGTGCTAGATAAGAGCAGCTTTCAATGGAGCTATTATAAGCTTTCATACAAGGTTTAGGGATGGGTACTAATGGCGAATGAAATCTCAAAACAGGGTAGTTGAAATGGAAACTGCTGTTACACTGGGATTAAACGGGTTATGGGGTTTATAAGGATGGAAGGCTGTCATAAATATTGTCCCTTTTTTGGGTGCCCTGAACATTAGGGCCGAATGACTGATCCTAGGGACCCCCAAAAGTCGCCGTTTGGAAAACATGCCAGTCCACTGCGGCAGGCAGTGTGGAGGGTTTCAGGTTCAAAGTTTAGGGGTGCAAACCCTAAAGCCTAAATAGTAGTTTCCGTTTTCTTTTTACCATTATCCCTATCTAACCCCAATATAACCCCAATATTCTTTCTACTTAAGGGGGACTATGGCACAAGTTTGCCCGTGGCTTCGAGGAGAGGACCTGGATCGCACTGAGGGTCGCGCGGATTCAGCTGTTTCTCAAATAAGCCTTGGCTGCACAGCAGTAGTCGCCATATGCCATAAATGGTGGTAACACAAACGCAGTAATAGAAGACGCATAAGTACCCATACCTGTATAGACATGACAAAACAACCCCGCAATGTACGAAAAAAACAAATAAAAGTGCATTCGGTGGCCCCTCTGCACTTGGACGTTCCCGGGCATGTAGAACTAGAAGGTAGCTACTCATAATCTCTTTTGGGGTACTTTCGAACTGAAATCCCAACTACTCATGAATCTCGCTAAAACACGCTCATAAAGAAACCCATCCTGAAGAATTCTGGCCGGTTGCTGTTATGCTTCACCAAGCACTGACAGTGCTTTCCGTCTTCTCCTGGCACTGGGTCTCCAAGTGTCTGCACATCGCACCTTGCATGACATCTTGCATCATTGATCGCAAAGCTTACGCAGCCGGTGGGGAAGGGTTAAAGCCTTGGGGTTTGGGGTTCAAGCTTAACAGGGCATGGGGGGGCAATAGATTCATGTAGAAGCCTACAGAAATGGCAACATCATCTAAGGTCTCTTTTTTGGAAAGCCAATTAATTTATGACCATATATTTGTAATAATTCAGGACGCTAGACTATAAGAGATTCTGTTGATGGAGGAAATCTTGCACCACCTTAAGTTCCTAAAGTCCTAGGAATTACAGTAGTTTAGGGCCCCTAGGTGGTGCAAGATTTCATCCATCAACAGTTTCTAGGCCCCCGTGACCCTCCAACTACAAAGCATTAGGCCCAGGAGCTTCACCGTATGGATTTGGTCTTTCTTCTCAGCGGCAAGAACTTTCCATCGCTGGCTAGTTCCCCACCTCCGCGACAACAGAACTGCAGTTATCTCCAAAGGCTGCCCCCCCCCCCTCTTATGAGGTTGTGCGTCGTCGCTTCTGGCCTTACGTGGTTGTTGCACTGGCACTCCTGCCACTGATTCGAACAGAAGACCCAGTCCGCATCTTTCAATTCTTTCCTTTGTGCAAGCAGGGCGCGGAATGCGGAACGTGGAGATGCTGTGAAATCAGAATCCCAATGCGGCGAGGGCTCTCATCCAAATCAACTTGCTGAAGCGATGTTGGAGGCTGGGAACTGCAGGGCTAACAGGGACTGGTCAATTTTACACGCTTTGCAAAAAGAAGTCAAAAGCTCCACAGTACATGAATCTCATGCCTGCGTGCGCTGCCTCGAACTACTTGGCCTTGACACCTCAGATATGGCCCCGGAGCTCTAGCTGCACTCAAGCCCTCGCACGAATTGCTTTTAGCTGTTTGTTAGAAAAACATGTTCAATACCTTCCTTCTGTCTGAGGACACATGAAACTTTCTGCAAAGCAGATGCCTTTAGGGGTCAGGAATTACGGGCGTTCCAATTAAAAATTCAATAAAGATGATTTATCATACTGATGGTTAATGGGGAGTAAGGGAATGTAATCCCTATATAATCCCCATAGAATACATTCCCTGAAGCATTCATAATTCCGGAAACTTGATCCCGGCCGACATCCCCGTAAGCCGGTTTAGGTTTAGGGTTCAGGGTTTGGGGGTTTTGAGTAGCACGGAATGAGGGAATATAATCCCTGTGGAATCGCTATAGACCATAGTCCTCTATTCCCTGCCAAGAACCAGTAAGTTCTTTGACGATTATGCCGCTTATTGCTACCGCTACTGGTATGATTACTCTGGTCATTGTTGCCCAGCAAGATTGTTACTGTTCTCATGTATGTTGCTATATTACTCTTAAGCCAATGCCTGTTTGAAGTTTTCAGTCTCGCTGCTGGCAGTGCTTGCCATCATCCCCTGGCAGCACGTCATCCAGGTGCTGAATACTGCACCTCAGACATCACAAACGTGGTTTAGGGTTTGCCGCTTGCATGGCCAATACAGCATCGAAATGCTCAACACCAGGAGCCCACTACACCGGACCAGGAAAAGCGCCTTGTGATGGTCCAGAGGCATTAGCACGATGCATTTACTGCATTACAGAGCCCAGGGCCCAGACACAGACCTGAAAAACCGTGACCACAAAACCCATGAACCCATAACACAATGAATGTGACAAATCATTCAAGGCGCTTTACAGTCAAAGCAGATCCATCTACTGGTGGATCCAGCACCTTCCAAGTCTCGCGATTGCCCCACCTTCAGGAATGCTTCACACCACTCATGACCAAAGGAACAGCCTGCTCGCTCTCCCAAAGTCTTCTAAAGTCACCAGCCTGATGCGACCGGTGCACGTGCACTCCTCAATCTACAGCTGGGCAACCCAGCCCAGAGAAAACAATCACACTTGTCAAAAGGAAGTTTGTGGAACCCAAATGCTCCCAGTGTGGCCGTGCATGTCTGTGCGCTTGTCTTGCTGAAGACTGCTCGGCAGACCCGGCTTAAGGTTTAGGGCTTTGGGCACCACAGCGGCTTAACTTGTGATCTTGCAATGTAAGCCAGTCTCACAAGTAATTTATATCAGAAGTTCTCAACATGGGGGCGAGCCTGGGGACTGTAGCTAGTAGCATATAGGAAGTGGACAGGGGTATCAAGGTCCATACTACGGATAGTATTAGAAGTAATATAAAGAACACTTGGCAACGCAGAAAGACTTGCATGAGCAGCTCCTCCCATTGGTTGGCACAGAACTGCCAGCTGCGTTTGGAAATATTGGTTTCCTTGGCTTCCAGAACAAGAGGTTTAGGGCTGGGGTTTAGGTTTAGGGTTTCGTTTCCTTGGCTTCCAGAATGAGAGGCATACCATGCACAGCCAAGGTTGGTAACAACAAGAAATTCAGGAAACAACACCGGCTTGCCTCATCAGTACATCCTCTCTTTAGTGCAGAAGCGACTACATGGTGGGGCTCTCCAATTTGGGGGACCTTTTGGCACACCTTCTCCCAAATCCTGATCTCGTCTCAAATGCCGGGCTTCTAGAAGATTTGGCTCGATGCCATTCCTGGACAGGTCATCAATACTAGTCACTATCTATAATAGTAGCAATAATAATAACAAGAATAATAGCAACAATAACAGTGACAAAAAGGTATAACTCCACAAGCGATGAACTACGTGCAGGTCAAAGGGTCATTATGACTACCATCTGCTTAGTAGTTGCACACATAACGCAACTCTGTATATGCGGACACATACAGAAACATATGGATACGAAAACTCCTGCATGACCCTAAGTACCTGATACCTTGTACATCATGGCATGTAGTACACCAGGGTCATGCCGAATCTTTCGTACCAACAGTCAGTATATCCCCCTCCCTGCCTCAAACCTTCCCTGCGAATGATCGCAGCGGTTGGCACAAGCGAAATTGACAGCAGCAGCCAAATCCTGCCAAGATGACTCACACGGTTTACTTGGAGGTGCAGGTGTTCATAACCTGCTTAGCAACTTTCACCGGATTGAACCTATCATAACTACAGTTACCCTAGCTGGAATTAGGTTTTAAGGATTTAACAAATTAAATGCCCTGCATCTCCAAGTAGGGTTTAGGAGTATCAAAACGGACCAACCTTCAAGCTGAAAGACACACGGCGGGTACTAATCCCCAAACCCTAAACCCTAAATAGTAGCTTCCATTGTCTTTTCCATTATCCCTATATTCCCTATAACCCCTCTATAACCTGCATAAGCTCTGTAGTTTCCATTTTCTCTTCCATTACCCCTATATAACCCTTATGTATCCCCAACTAGTCATGCATAGCTTGAAGCACCAGACTTTTGCAGGGCTTCTTCTATCTGCTCCAGTGTACCTTAAGGGTTTAAGGGCTTAGGGTTATGGGTTTAGGGGCTAGGGGTTAAGGGTTTGGGGTTTGGGGTTTAGGGCTTTAGGGCTTTAGGGTATCTACGCCAGAGAGCCCACACACGTTGGATACGGCTGCCATGCGCTAAAGCTCAATCGCACTGTTTGAAGGGACTGTTATGGATTGGGGGCAATATCCCATACACTGGTTAAGTCAACAACTTCCAGACTCAGTCTTGAAGAAAACAAAACCTACTACTTTAGGATCTTTTGTAACCAGCAGACAAAAAAAGACCAAAGTATTAGCTAACAAGTATGCAAACGCTAAGCCCCTAAATCCCAGACCCTAACCCACCACCCAAAAGAAACAGTGCAAACTCAAAACACTAAACTTCACTGGAACTGGCTTTGGTCAGGGGACTCTGAAGCACATCCCGAAACAACAGCTCAACACTAAGCCCGTAAATCCTAAACCACTATAGTCCCCTTAAGTAGATAGAATATGGGGTATATGGGGATCTTATTATAGTATACCCAAAGCCATACTCTAGCTACTTAAGAGGGACTATAAACCGTAAACCAAAGCAAACCCCCCACTGCATATTCCCATCTCATTTCATTGTCCATTACTGTTTTGCTTCTGGACTTGTGCGGGCGCCAGAACCTTGGGCTACCCTAAAGCCAACGTATGCCAGCATGTCCCTATCCATCCCTATATATCGCACAGGTCGCACTATGTCCACGTATATGCACTCAAGGATGCCGGGAAGACCGTCCACAGGGTAGCCTCAAACTGCATATTGGGCAGGTGAAGTGTACATTGATGTGAGACGGCCTTTCACTTCCTCTGAAGAGGATACAACGATATGTGATGCATGAGGATTGTTCAAAAAGTCCTTGTGAAGGAGGAATCTTTGCAATACACTTCCTTGAAAGGAAATCCCGCCCCAAAGGGGACCCATCTTATCGCAATCTGGGGAGAGATGTTTTGAACAACTACCATATGGGATTCAGGGTTTAGGAATTATGGGTGGGGCACCCAAAAACCCTTGGATGTTCCGAGCTTGCGCGGGATTCAAGGGGTCTTCCTTCAAGGTTGTCTAAGGATCATGTTGAGAAATGATCACATACTGGTTCTTCTGCTTTTTCAACGTTTGTGGGGAAAGTACACAAACAACGATGTACACGCAAAAGACCTTTAGATTCCTTCTATATCCACCGCAGCCAGAACCCCTCACTTCTGGTAAACTCTAAAGACTCGCGCCAAGAAGCATTAGGTGATCGCGACCCTGGCGAAATATGGAAGGGCTTCTACATTTGAGTGAACACTCGAACCGGCTCCTGTCAGCGGATCAGGCAGATGCAGTTCCAACGTTGCCGAGCTCATGCAGGGTGCTATAAGCATCTGTCTGTGTGTGTGTGTTATATGTCTGTGTGTGTATATGTATGATTATGTGAATGTATGCATGTGCCTGTGTAAATCTTTGTACATTTAGGAATGCATACACAAAAAAATGTCCTAAAAGGGATTCTCGGAGGCAGGTGAGAAAACCAGCTGTTACCCATGGACCCAGCAGGATATTGGGATGTTTCAGCCTCTTTTTGTTTTGGCCAAGGGTGCAGACATGAGAATCATTTTT